TGGATTCTACATTAATTATAAAGAAACTTTGTAGCACTTGTAAACCCGTCGATGCCAAAAACCTACGGCGATACCGTGATTCACATCTCGCAAATTGACTCCTTAGTCGAAGTGAACGATCGTGAAATCTATGCAAAGCCCGATCGAGGAAAACCCAGCGAGGTCAGGATAAAGGGATTCTTGATTTCTATGATGACTAACTACATTTTAGGTGGAACAAGCGATCGGGAAGCTCATTGCCGAGAATCTTGTTGAGGACGAAGCTACACTGCAGTTGGGTGAGACCAGATATATCGCATAAATAGATGATTTCAAATGTTTGCTTCAGGAATAGGAGCGATACCTGACTCGACATTGGCTGCTATGAGAAACCACAAAAATCTCGGAGTCCATACTGAGGCAGTCAGCGATGGAGTATTGGAACTGATAGATGCCGGAGTAATAACTGGCGCTAAGAAATCCGTCATGCCCGGGAAGGTTGTGGAAGTCATTCCACTTTCATTTTTCTTCGCCTCATCATCCCATCTTCAGATAGTGACCAGTTATGGATATGGTTCGCGGAAGTTTTACAATGCTGTCGATAACAACCCTCTCTTTCGTGAGTTCCCAGAATTTCCTGAAAGGCAGTTGGCACGATAAATCCCCAAAGACGAGTAGGATTTATACGCCTGGCAGGGCGGATTTCCGCGACCCTGAGCAGGCCCTGCGTAGCGGTTTTTCCTAGGGAGGTACCCTTATAAGGATCCTATCAAGCTACAACTTTACGACCCAAACGCCTACCACGCCCGCCCGCCCACAAATGGACGACCCTACCAGATGCTCGTTTTGCTTCATTTGCTATTTAAAATATGAAGCGAAGGGATTGGTATGAAGCGGCTGCGGTGCTGAATGGATATATGAGTACATACATGCAGCCGCACCTACCGGAGCGGTTATTTGCAATACGCCTACGGGAAACTCGTCCGAAATCGCTTTCAAGAACGAAGGCTTTTCTTCGCAGTTTTGGACCGTTTCACTTCGTTTTTTCGCCATTTTCCCCACTAAATAGCGCCCTGCTAGCATTTTAGGCTGAGTACCAAATTATCGTGCCAACTGCCTTTAAGTCTTCAACGTTAGTATTCTGATCCCGCGTAAACTCCCCACAAAAGAGAATTTCAAAAGAAGCATTTGTTGCTGCGCTTGCCTTTGAACGGTTCTGCTACACTACTACAACATCCATTGGGTTTTCTTATACATGCTTAGGAAGATGAGTACAAATCAGCTGGTATATTCTAGCCAGCTGAATCTTCAAGCTATAGCACTGCTGTACGCTGCGTGGCTTGGACTCGGTTTGGTTGATGGTGCGAATACCGAGCGTGGTATTCCGCTGGAAACGCCTCTTCTGCCACCATGCCGTAACGTGCCAGTGAAGATATACACGAGCAGTCAGACCTTACCTTTCCGCTGTAGCATTCATAGTAAAACGGGGTAACTAATCCTATGCTTTAGCCTTCAAAAGCAGTAAGCTGACGAATGGAAAGAGCGGGCTCCTGATGGCGGTAACAGTAAGCGCACTTCCGACTCTTAGCGGTGGGTTCGACTTCCCCCAAGTCAAGATTCCGCCCAAACACTACGCATCTCGCAAATGAATGAATTTTCCGGGCCCAAGACAGCATTCTCGCAAATAATGAAGCTATAGTTTGCTCAACTTAAGGGTAAAGTCATGCTAATACAAGCAGCGTGAAATGATTTACTCTTCACTACGGTCCATATTGCTAATGCGTCGCGAGCGGCATCACATGTTGAGCAACTTCACTTCATTTCGCTGGCGCCGCGAAACTCCAGTCTCCTGAGCGGTCACCTCAAGCAAAACAGTTTGGAAATTTCGCAGAATTCGCCAGGATGCTGGCCTAATTCCAGGATGCGCCTAAGTGCTTATCCACATATGCAACACTCTCTCTAATTGTAAGAACTACACGACCACTTGTGCTCTTCCCTCCCATTGCCGAAAGTCTCACCCAACTAGTGTTAGAGATTTTATAAGTCACCTTGTTACTGAATTTAAGTTTGCTGCGGGTCAATTCTCCGAGTTGGGACATCGCGCCTTGTCGTCTAGTCGACCAGATGAGGCATTGTGCACAGTCTGCGACCCTGACGAAACGGCAGTTGGGAGAAAAGCAAAAAATAGTGATGATCGAGAGAATCGCCAACCGCTAGTTTTATCGCGAACCGCTGCGGTTCAGCGGTTGGGCGAAAAGCAATAGATGTGTATCGATTTCGCTGGCGAAAAACGCCACGGCGATCGAGCTAGCGTTTCGTCGAAGGCGAAAAACGTCGCGGTTTGGCGAAACGCCCGTCGATTCGTATCAAAACCCTTTTCGCCAACCGCCAGTCGATACGTATCCAAAGCTTTTCGCCGAATCCGCCCGCGTTCCAGAGAAACGCTGGACCGCAGGCTGTGATAATGCCTGACACAGGCACAGAGAGCGAGTCTTTTTGAAACCCACACGCGGAGAGAGCTGAGAGGGTGGATGCGGCGCATCACTGCTACGATGAGTGGATTAAGCTGTTCGGAGTGAACGCTGCGCACGACGCACCTTGTCTTTTCAATGCCTAGTTTTGCCGCGACTCCGGCAGTAAGCTACACCAGTCCTTTGCCTGCTACAGAGTTTACATTTCGTCACAGAATTTCGACAGCTGTGAATGACAAATCGACCTGAAGTCATTCGAACAAATTCTAAGATGACTTGTATAAATGCGTGTATTGAAATTGATCTCACTGGACAAGTTGCATCTGATTCCATTGGTAGTACCTTCTATTCGGGTGAGTTCGCTTGCATAAGCTTTGACAAGTACACCAAGAATGCTCGTTTTAGGGTTCGGTGGCCAAGTGGACTTTATCTCATCCGGGTCTACCACATATGATGGCAAAGGAAAGGCAATCATCGCTATGCCTTCTCGAACATCTAAAGGAAAATCAAAAATCGTTGCCAGTCTATCTCAGGTGGGTCCGAATTGCCTCTTGGCTACGAACCGTTAGCCGGAGATCTTTCTCCGAAGCAGGGCACATGTTTTGTTGGGGAATCCCCAACAGGGAAGTCGCCAGGAGAGGGGGTCGTATTTGGGATGAGAAAAATTTATTTTGGTAGTTGATTTTTTTTTCACAGACGGAGGGAGGGGGGAGTCGTACTGGTTTACTCGTGGGGAGGGGGAGGGGGCGGGCTCAATGTGTGATGAGGAGGGCCAGACAGAGGGGAGGGGTCGTACCAACCCCCAAAAAGAGGGGGGGGGGTCGTACAGACTCGATCAAAATCCCCAACCAATGATAAGCCCTGCTCCGAAGAAGGTGGCTTCGCTAGAAGCCCAAGTGAGATTCAAGAGCAGTAGTTACCTGTTGTTCTGTTGATCATCAAATTCCTCAGACGAACGCCGTTATGTCTTCTTCCTTCCCGGCGAACCAAGGCAGTACATTGCATTCTCCTATCTCGGCAAACAGAGAGCCACTGGATTTTTTCTGCACAGTGTTTATGAAGAGCCAGGCTGTACGACTGTTCTGATGTTCGTTCCCTCCCGTGGGATCCCTCGGTAATGCGGTCACACAGGATCACATTATAATCCCCTTACCTGATCTGATATTCCTTACAGGGTACAGCGTCGTTGGAGAGATCGTATTAGGGAAGTCGCATTTTGTCCCCAGGGACAAGGGTCATATTTGATCATTGGAGTTCGCGCTTGACCTATATAGATTTTTCCGAGCCACAATGAAGGTGGCCTTTCCGCTCTTCCCATACCGTATCATGAGCGCTATATCCCCCCTTCCCTCTTCCGCTTCATGCTCCAGGGAAAACTCAGAGATGACAGGTAGGCAGGTAGGACACGGAAAAAAGGTCGGACCATATGAGGAATTCGGGGCTCGTACTGAGACCCCCGAATCACTGCGCCTGACACTGATCGCAAATACGGAAACGTTCGAGGTTACGACCGCTGCGGAGTTCGGAACTCCGGATTTTCCTTGGCTTTTGCGTGTACCAGACCCAAGCATCGTCTCCCTCCCCCCTCCTCCACAGCCCGCTTGGATAACGCTCGCCTTGAGCCGAGTCTAAGCCTTCGAAACCTGTGTTAATATCAAGACTACAGAATCCGATAGGTGGGCTCGTAGTGGAGTTTGCCTTATTCACTACCCCCGTTATTAAAGGCCCCCAATGCAAAATCCGCGATATAGCGACAAATCTTTTTTGCAGGGCGCAGGAGTGGTAACTACACGTGGACACGTACGATTCGTTGTCACTGAATATGGAATTGCGGATTTAGGAGGAAAAAACATCCGTCAGAGGGCTTATGAGCTGATTAGAATTGCCCATCCAGATGATCGTCAACAGCTAGAAAAGCAAGCATTCGAACGTCTAAAATGCATGCCCTCTCTTTACTGAGCCATAATAAAACTTTTATAGCCACAAAGGCAGTACAACATCGAAAAACTGTGGACGTGCGCTATTACAGTAACCCTAAGTAATCACGAAAAAAGACACTTCACTCACCTAGATACACGTCAGAGATGAACT